AAGCAGAACAAGTGTAGCTCTCTTATGAAAAGAAAGACGTTTGAGAATTTCTGAAAAACATGGCTGTAATCACCCACATGGCCTTACAGCCAAATATTTAACAGGTAAACTTTATCTCCCAGGCCTGTGATACTCTAACTGAAACAATAGGCTTATCATTACTAGGACTTTTAGAAGGTTACCCCATAGTTTGCTTTTAATTGGCTCAGAGCTCCCCAAAGCACATCCTATTTGGTTTCTAGTATCTACTTAAAATCTTTCTTGAACAAGAAAGAAGTTCAGAATTTATTTAAAAAAAAATCTTATCACCAGCCTTTTAACAAGTGGACTTTTGATTTTAAGTAAGCAAATTATATCAGTTGGCTTTTTAAAAACACTCAAATTAAAAAAATGATTCACTTTTAACTCAATATCGGTTCATACCAAATACATCTGGAGTAACCAATCTTGCACAATTAATTTAAGAATCCTACATTCCACTGGTAATTTAAATTTTTGTAGACTTATATACAGGAAGATCTCCCAAGCTCAACCAATACTTACGTGTCATAATAACCTATCACTCCTCACATATACATTTGTAAATCAAGGGTTTTATTAGACTTTCAAATGACTGGGCCATTCAGTGCTTTTCAATATTGTCTTGTTCTGTTTTACTGAAGAATATTCTAAAAACTAGTATTTGAGTAAGAGCAAAGTTAAAAAAGTTTGCTAAAATATTACCTTGGCAAATTGTTGAGATCCAGCAAAAGCTGAAATTCAAAGAAAAGGTTATTGTCAGTCTTCCTAGGAAGATAATATAGTTATTTTACCTCCAACATTTATAAAGTGAACTTTCACCCACCTTTTTGTAAAGACAGCATTTGCATGAGGCATCATAACTCCTGAAGCTACATTTTACTTGAATTATTGTTCCAAATGGAGATGGTGAAAAACCACAAAGATCAGGAAATTTTCTTTCTTGTTAAGAAAGTCATGGGTAGTCATTTTGCAGTAACTTTAATAAAACAGTAACAGATTGATAAAGTATGCTGTGCATTCTATGGCAAGTGGAAGAAAATATAATTTCAGAGAATGCCAATGCACAAGGCCCTCCAGAGCAGGGCTTCTGCTTCATTAATCTTTCCAGATTTTAAGCTGACCTTTCTGGCCACTCCTCCTCAGTCTCCTTGGGTTCTTCCACCACACCCACCTCCTCATGTCAAATAGCTGTGCACCCCATGGTCCTAGCCTTGACTCTCTTCTCATTCCACATAACCTCCCTGGAGAAAACTATTCATATTTTAACTTCAATTTCTGAAAGACTCAGGCTTCTTTCTTTAGTTCCTGACCCACATGTCTGACTCCTACTTAAGGGAAATCTCAATTTAGACAACAGGCATTTCAAATGAACAGAACTCATCATGGATGCATTTCTCACACTCCCTAAAAAGAAAAAGACTTCTTTCCTTCTCTTGTGTTCTGGATTTCGATAACTAACAGAACAATTCCCCCATCACCTGGGCGGTCATCCTCGGCTTTTCCCTCTTCTTCACCCCCTACAACACCAAGACCTGCCACTTGGACCCTCTCAGAGGCCCCTCCTCCCTGTTCCCCACCCTCCCAACCACCACACTTATTTTATCATTTATTCATGGAATTACTACAAAATCTCCAGCTTGGTTTTTCTGCCTCAAGTTTTGGCTCTCCACCAATCCGTCATTCACACGCTGCCAGCGACCCCTTTCAAATGGAGAACCGATCACGTCACTGACCCAAATCCTTCTCATTACCTTCAAGATAGAAATCTCACTCCTTTGGTTCTTTCTGATTTAATGCATATCTGCCTCCCAGCTTCACTTCCTTCTATGCTCTTCTATTAAGTTCCCTCTGCTCCAGCCACAATGGACTCCTTCTTAAGAGTTGTTCTCTCGTGCCTCTGTGCCTTTGCCCAGGAAGCCCTCACACACAATCCATCTGGTCATTTCCTATTCCCTCATGAAGACCAACCCCCAAGAAGTACCTGACACATTATGGATGCTCAATATGTGTTTGCTGTATGCCTGCAATAACAACCACCTACATTTACTTTACAATATACAAGATATCTTCACTCCTATCTATAATCACATTTCATTGATTTTGAATTTCACAACTCGACTGTTAGACAATCATTGCAGATCTTGTTATTCCCAGTTACCAATAAGGAATAGCTCCTGGCTTTCCAAAGTGGCATAGCTAGAAATTAATGCGATCATCCTTGACTAAAAGCCTGTCCTCTATTATTATCCTATTTAAATTATCAGGTATACACTGAAAACCCACTAAGAGCTAAAAGGAGTACTGGACTTAGTTCCTAAAATATTTAATCTAATCAGAGGCACAGACCCATGCACATAAAGTGGGAGAAAACTCTACAAGAAAGTAGAGTACAGGGCTAGGTGCCAAACTGGGTAGTGTCCCCAGTAGGAGAGAGAGGTGCATTTTGTGGGCATTAACCTAATCCTGGAAGACTTTCCAGATGCGGGGGCAGCAGCACGGTCCTGCAGCCCAATTATACTAAGAATGAGTAAAACGCTGAAAGAACATTCCTGGAGTCCAACAATTTCGAGCGCAGACCATTACAGATCTGGAGGACAAAGAGGAAACGAGGGAAAAATGGAAATTCGTTTTCTACCTTGACTCAACTCCTTGTAAGTTTCAGAAAGTAGTGGAGAAAAAGAGAAAAAAGTACCCTCACTCTGGCAAAACAAAAAGTAAACAAAAATCCAGGAAACAAAAACAAAAACTTCCCTTGACTTCCATAAACACCCTATCAGTAGGATAGTAAGGCTAGGAAACAACACAGTCATTTGCTTGTCTTTCTTTTTTTTTTTTTTTTTTAAAAATCATCCTACTTGCATTAAATAACGTTAACTTTCTACCACAATTATTTTTACTTTGAATTCTGATGTGGCTAAGAGATTTAAGTAAGAAAAAGAAAGGCTATGTCGGTCCCTCCATTGCTACCTTATTCCCTGGTGATAGTGCTTTGGTTTGCTACTTTCATTAAGCACCAGCAAAGTAAATAATGTAATTATTCTATCTAATTTGATGAGCTTGGAGATTTTTTAAAAAATCAGGACTTTGTTTTTTACCTGACCATCAGTGACATCCTGAACATGCCAATGAAAAGAAGAAAAAAAACACACACATGGTAGGAAATCCCCAAAAGGAGCAACCAATACGTTTGCCATTCATCTCAACCCCTATCCCATTAGCAACTTTCTGACCTCAGGATAGCTCCTCCAAGAAGAAAGCATATCCCTTTGGGGCGCCTGGGTGGCTCAGTTGGTTAAGTGACTGCCTTCATTCAGCTCAGGTCATGATCCCAGAGTCCTGGGATCAAGTCCCACATTGGGCTCCCAGCTCAGGGGGGAGCCTGCTTCTCCCTCTGACCCTCTCCGCTCTCAAAACTTGAGGCAGAAAAACCATGCTGCTTCTCACTGTCTCTCAAAAATAAATAAAATCTTTAAAAAAAAGAAAACATATCCCTTTATCTAAAGCACTTTCTCTAACGCTCTTCTCACTCAACAGACAAGTGCAAGTACACTGTACCAGCTGCTGGAGGAAGAAAGAGAAACTGAATGTTGTCCTTAAACATTTTAGTACCTTTCCCTTCCCCACTTTCACCCCTCAACCAGTCATTTCTTCCATAAACTCACTATCCCCGAAAATCAAATGTTGCTTTTCACAGTCGTCAGTTACCTATTACCTGAAATATTTCAATGCAAGACTTCCTCCATGTCAAGTTCATGGCTACTGATAAAATCATTCTTCTACACTGCTAAGTTTAAAGGGCCAACATATACCTCCACTTTTCCAACTTTCAAATATGCATGCAACAACCAAATTCTTGAGTCCTTGTTATTTCAGTGTGGAGATCGACAATGTTTTGTTGTTCTTTTTAAATACAAATACTGAATCCTTTGCTGTTTGAGAAAATAAAACCCTACCTCTTTTATGTGTTAATGAAGACCAGGTTTTTATCACTAACTTGTCACTTTATGGTATTACTAAGGAGCACCACTATGTGTCTTGGATGAAAAGACCAAGTCACGATCTTGCTAATGATACGAAAACTCGAGTTGGAAAACACTGTTCTAAAGCAGTGCTGTTGATCTTAGATGCTGTTTGTCTAAAAATGCATCCCCTGTCTCTAAGTTTCAGGAACAGGTAATTAAGGTGCCACGAAGTGTTTACTCCCCAACCTGAATTTATTACTTCAATATTTTAGCTTATGAATTACGGGTTCAGGATATATCACACTGCTTGTCAATATCCACACATAAACCTTCTTGCTTTGACAATCTGAAAAAGGCTCTAGACAGTCTGAGAGGGGAAGCCCAGTTTGGTGGAACATAATAAATGTCCGTTTCCATCACAGAATATATGCTTCTCAAGTTCAATTAACCTCTGAACGATTCTCTTTCTAAGAGGAAAGTAATTTTCCTCAGTGTCCTTGTCATCTATGGAGTGGAAATCTCTCTAGTGGCAAAGTATGAGTAATCGCTTATGTGACCCAAAAAGGGCTCTTCTCTTCATTTCCCTCAAGTGCTGTCTAGAGCAGCGGGAGAAACAGATAGAGGGGCCATAATCTCCAGACATGAGTGCTAAATCAATCATGCAGTTTCCACCCGCCTGCTCTTTCCTTCTCAGTCTTTTTCTTCTCGCTCCTCCATTTTTCTCTCCTCCTTAAGGCTCGTTTTTGTTCATCTAGGACTCTCTCCCGGTGGTCTGCCTTTTTACGACCTACCAGGCACAATCTCTTGTGATCCTCAAAGCTTCCTTAAAGCACAACCGGCACCTGTATTTCAAAAGCCAGTTATTATGATACTATTGTGTGAGATAATGTTACATTCGTTTAAAAGCCCTACAAAGTTTTGGTACAAAATATGTGGGCTGACTCCACAGCTCCACCGAAAACGCGGAGGATGGAAATAAACAAAACACACACACAAAACAACCCCCAATCCAACCGGAAAGATCCAACCCAGGCCCACTGCCTGAAATGTGATACTCGGATGACAGTGCAATGTGGGGCAACGGAATTCTCCTGGCTTCCAGGATTCAGCAGACACACTTGGCCCACTGCCGCCGACGACAGAAGAGGCTCTCATTTGTTTTATGCTTCCCATAAACGCGGCAGCAGTGACCACCCTCCCCGGGCCTGGCCGACGCCCCGGCTGCCGAGGGATCGTCCTGCTGGGAGGGCTGGGGTGCAAAGGGTCGCTCCTGCCGCTGACACGCGGACTCCGGGAGGTAGTGGCGGGCAGGCGGCCTCCGCCCCGGCCGTTTCGGGAGTCGGGGCGGGGTCGTTCGGGGCGAACCGGCGGACAGCGGGGGCCCCCGAGGCGGCGGGGGCGCGCCGAGCCCGGGCGGCCGCAACAGGTGCGCCGCGGCGGCCCACCCGCCCCTCCCGCCGCCCGGCCGGCCTTTACCTGCAGGGGCGGCTCCCGAGCCCGGGGAGGTAGGCCCGGCCCCGGTCGCCCTTCCCCACCGGGCAGGCCGAGCTCGCCGGACGCACGGACTGACGGACCGACGGACGCCTCGGGATGGCGACTGGGGGGGGGGCCCACAGTCCCCCGCCCCGAAGGCCCGGGCACAGGCCCCGCCCGGGGGCTCGAAGCCTGCCGGGGAGGGCGCGACCGCCCAACCGGGCCTCAGGGGCAGAGTCTTCAGCGGACGACCGGGCCGCCACCCTCGCTCGGTGTCCCCGGCGACGCGCGGGCCCTCACGGCGGCCCGCGTTTCTTCACGGCTTTTGGTCCCTCCCTCTCGCCGTCCTTCTGGCCCCGCCTCCCCGCCCTCCGGGTTGTCAAGGCAACCCGAGCGACGCCTGCCGCGGACAAGAGGCGTTAGGCGGGGCGGCGGCGGCGCCGCGGGCTCGGCCCTTGGGGGCCCGGGAGCAGCTGACCATGGAGCCCCAGAGTAAGGGGGCCGGGGCGGGCGGGCCGGGGCCTCCGGGGAACGAGGGTGGGCGCCCCGCGCGCGGTCGCAGGCTTTAAACGCTTACGACACGGAAACACGGTTCTCCCCCTCGCTCTTTTCTGTCCTGGAGGGAGGAGAGGGGCCTAAACCTGCTGTGTGTGTCCGGTTGGGTCACGGGCACCAAGGGAGTCCACTGGGAGCCGGAGGGTCGCGAGAGCTCGGGAGTGTGGACAGGAGGAGGCAGCGCCCCCGCTGTGTTCTTTCTTGAAATTACCCCAAGCAAATCCGTGTATTATTACTATCACTCTCATTGTTGTCGTTCTAGTTTGGTTCATTCATTGTAAAGAGCCGTCCTGCTTCTAAAACGTCAGCAATTGAACAAGCTACGAGGCTGGGTCTTGCGTTCGGTTGAGCTGCATTTATGAGAGCGAACCCGTCCACCCCGCACTCCATAGTCAGTGATTTAAAGGAGGAAAAAAAAATTGAGCTTTGTTCAAGCGTATTTGATTCATTGCTAAAGGTTGTACGAGCTAGGACACTCCAAAAAAAAAAAAAAAAAATCATCTTCCTGTTTCCCACATTGTTTGGCAAAACGTGGGCAGTCTGGAGTTAAGAGATCAAATACGAGCTCTAACTTAACTGGGTTCCGTGGCTCCCAAACCTCTCTAGGGCTGTATTACCCTGTCCTTCTTTTCCATGCTAAGGTCTTATTGCTCCTTTTGTTCTTAAAGTGAGAACAGTGTTTTCTGTGGAGATTTGGAAGACCTTAAGCTTTTATAGAAGTTTGCAGTTTGATTCTCAAGACCAAGTCGGCTTTTCTTGGACAACTTGAGAAATGGAAGTACTCATCAAATCCATTCTCTGGGGAAAATGCTGGCATTTTAAAAGGTCGTTAGTTTTGGGCAAGAAGGCTTTAAAGGTTTTTTCACTTTCTTTTAACTCATTTGCTGATGAAAAACTTAGAAGTTGAGAGTTACAGTTTCTTGAATTGAATTTATACACTACCCTGCCATTTGCATGTATAACTCTCCGGATTTTACATCTTATCTAACTTGTTGAAAGAAACTGAACATACGACAATACTAAAAACTTTTGTCTTGTGTCAAACTGCTGCCGCGCTGTGCATGTTCTCTGTTAATGGAGGAATGAAGTGACATGTATCTTTTAGAAACAGCAACTTTATTCCTTCAGATTTGTTATTGTTTAAACGTGTTAAGTATAAATTTCAACTAATTCAGTGCTCACTGTCTTTCTCCACTCACTCATTCATAGTATATATTGTGTTCCAGACACTGCTGTAGAGATGGGGGTGGCACAATGAATAGGATAGTGTTAGTTTGGGCCATCCCAGGAAAACCCTGCAGGGACTTGCCTGAGTACAACGCGCACCTCCCTCAGGTCTGAGATTGAGAGAGAGGAGACGGACAGAAGGCTTCCGGGAGGAAGTAATAGGAGGCCTGCAGAATGACCCAGCAAAGATAAGGGAAAGGGGTTCCAGGCAGAGGAAACCCCTGGTACATAGGCCCTGAGACCTGAAGAGCAGTGGGTTTGAGACCCAGAGTAGGAAGATTAGTAAAGTTGGAGCTAAGAAGACTTGAGGGTAGAGAGGGATAGGAAAAAGGTAAGTCTGGAAAAGTCAACAACAGCCAGATCATGAAGGCTTTATAAAACTATGTAGGAAATGTATTATGGGGCATCAGGGTGGCTCAGTCAGTTAAGCATCCAACTCTTGATTTTTGGCTCAGTTCATCATCTCAGGGTTGTGAGATTGAGCCCCACAGGGGGCTCCACACTGGGCATGGAGTCTGCTTAAGATTCTCTCTCCCTCTGCTCCTCCCCTCCCTGCTCCCTCTCTTAAAAAAAAAATGTATTATGTGTATGAATTATTTGTTTATATCCCATCACATTGGGTTTTGAGGTGGAAAATTTTTGTTAATCCATGCGTAGGGGACAACTGTACATTTATTCCTCTCCACATATTCTTAAATGCTTTTATCAATGTAATTTCAGGTAATCCAAACAATCACCAGTTATCTTAGGAAATTCCTTTTTTTTTTTTAAGATTTTATTTTTAAGTAATCTCTACATCCAATGTGGGGCTCAAACTCACAACCCCAAGATCAAGAGTCTCATGGTCTACTGACTAAGCCAGCCAGGTGCCCCAGGAAATTCTTTCACAGTCTAATAAGCACCATTTTTGGTAAATATTTACTAAATCATTCACTGTGATTTTTAAGGTCCCTTTTAACTTCAAAATTCATATCCAACCTTCAAAATTCAGATTTTACCTGAAACTCACGTTATTTCATTCTGTCAGAAATATTGGAGAGCACTATAGATATGGTATTAAAAAGTATTATAATTACCTATATAACTACTGTTATCATTATTATATTAATGATATATTGTGATGCCAATATTATCTAACACATTTTAAGCCTGGTGTTTATGTGGTACCTTTTGTTAGTGACTGGTTTCAAAGAACATTTTACAACTGTAGCTGCACATAGCATCAGTGAATTGATTGAAAGGAAGGATCCTTCTTAATTGCTTTAAGGATTAGACATATACCCAAGGAAAACACCAAAGAACCGCTAGAATCAGTCTTATCCATTCTGTTTCCACACACTTAGGTTTCTATTACTTTTAGGAATGACCTTTATTAATGGAGTCATTAAAATCCAATAAACATAAACTCTTCAGACCTCACAGTGGGATCATACTCTGGCTATAGGCAGAGGACAGGGGCTACCACTATTTTACAGAATAATAATAAATCAATGAGCCAAGAAATGACTCCTCAGGGAAAGGGCAAATTAAGTAAGTTCACAACCTTGGGCTGTTCAGAGTGGTTTTGGCTCTCGGCTTACACATGTACAGCTTTAATTATTTTCTTCATAAACCAACTGGGCTATTGGAAAGTTAACCCATGTATGAAATAACATGGAAAATATACATCAAATTCTTTTTTGTTTGTTTTGGTTTTGTTTTTAGAAAATAAGTTCAACAGTACTGTCTCTTCCCTAATTTCTCAGTGAACGACAATGCCAAGGGGTAGCTTTGGGGGTCTTTACCCTCTCTCTCATGATCTTTCCTAGCCCACCAAATCACCCTAAGCAAACACACAATCTGGGTATAAAAACTGTATGTTTATCAAATGCAACATCAAGATAAACCTCCACCTCCCACTTAGAACCCTATTCTCTCTATAAAAAATCTAGGTCTATGTTAGGCCAGGCCGCAGTTGACTGCTACACACCTGCCCTTAGAAAGAAATGCCAAGGGGCGCCTGGGTGGCTCAGATGGTTAAGCGTCTGCCTTCAGCTCAGGTCATGATCCCAGGGTCCTGGGATCGAGCCCCGCATCAGGCTCTCTGCTTGGCGGGGAGCCTGCTTCTCCCTCACCCTCTACTGTTCCCCCAGCTTGTGCTCTCTTGCTCTGTCAAATAAATAAATTAAAAAAAAAAAGAAAGAAATGCCAAATGGGGATCTAAGTTATTCCAATGACTAAGAGAATGAGGCATTCACTTAAAGGGCTGAAGCCTTTCTCCAAACCTGTTTTTCTACTAGTTTTCCCATCTTTGAAAGGATTACATCATCTCCCCAGTTATTCCAGCTGGAAATCAAAGAGTCATCCTTCCCTCCTCTCCTCCACTCCCCCTCCCTTGCACCACCCCACCCACCAGCATGCCTGTTTACTCCACCTTCAAAAGACACCCCGAACGTGCACCTTCCTCTTCCTACTGTCATCACTGGGACTCCAAGCCACCATCTTGCTTAAGCCCTGATTGGAGGCTCTACTGACTTCTGCAGTTCCTCTCCCCTGCCTCATCTGTGCTCCACCTGGAAGCCAGAGTGACCTCTTCAGAATAATTTATTACATCATGTTACTCCTCTGCCAAAAGCCCTCCAGAGTTCTTATAATGATCTAGTTGCCTCTTCAAATTTATCAGTTGTGTGATCTTAGATAATTATGCTTCAAGTGTATGGGTCTTTTTTTTTTTTTGAAAGGTTTTTTTTATTTATTTGAGAGAGTGAGAGCACAAGTGGGGAGGAGGATCAGAGGGAGAGGCAGACTCCCCGCTGAGCATAGAGCCCAACTTGGGGCTCGATCCCAGGACCCCGAGATCATGAGCTGAGCTGAAGGCAGACGCTTAACCGACTTAGCCGCCCAGGCGCCCCAAGTGTATGGGTCTTTTAGTCCCTTAAACATATCAAGCTCCTTTAAGGACGGTGAGTCTTTGCACCAGCTTTTTCCCTCCCGTTCTGACAGATGTGACTCAATATCCTCTGGTCTTAGCTTAAATGTCCCCTGCTCATTGACTCCTTCCCTTAGACCCTAAAGTAGTTGGTGCCCCCCTTCAGACCTTTGCATTTTTCTCTTTCTAGCAATGATCACAATTTGAACTTCTTTGTTAACTAAAAAAATCTGTTTTCGCCACCAGATTGTAGCGTTGTGGAAAAGGGCCTGAATGCCCTTCTGGCCCTAGTGCCTGATGCGGAGTAAGCCCTGCGCCCTGAACAAGCATTTACTGATGGATGGCACCACTGTTAACGGCTGAATGCCTCATCTAATGTTATTTCCTTAAGAATGTGGTGTCATTAAAACCGAAAGCCATTTTCCTCTATAACGGGAAGGACGGTGCACGGGTGAAATCTCAAGTGCCTCTTGTGGTGGGTGCTTCAGGTTAAGTTCATTTAACTCAGGTGCTTACACCTGTTAGCTGGATTACAAACATGGCATTGCTTTTTACTAGCCTAAATGACATGTTTTAAGAATCTCATTTTATCCAAAAAAATTAAGGAGCGGCGCCTGGGTGGCTCAGTCGGTTAAGCATCTTCCTTCAGCTCAGGTCATGATCCCAGGATCCTGGGATTGAGTCCCTCATCGGGCTCCCTGCTCAGCAGAGAGCCTGCTTCTTCCTCTACCCCTCCCCCTGCTTGTGATATCTCTCTCGGATAAATAAATAAAATCTTTTAAAAAAATAAGTAGGCAAGTAATCTTATTTTTGAGACCAAAGGCTCACCAGATCATAGCTCTGACAAAATCTTTGCACTACCATGGGATACTCACACAT